TAAATCTCGTCTTATGAAAGTTTCTAAGTTCATTCTCTTCTCTTCTACTCTGGTTCAACAACTTTACTTGAACGTTCGTAAAATCGCGAAATATGTAATGTACCCTATGCTGATCTAATTAACAATAGTGTAAATTCAGCTGGATCAGGTGTGGTTGGTGTACCCTGTTTATTCTTTTCCATAAGGTTATCAAAGAGAGAGCCAGTAGCGCAGTGGTAGCGATATTCTTCATCACGAACACAGTGCTGGTTGCACACCACACCGAGCCCCAATCCTCTCATCTTTTCGAAGTGGGGAAATTAGTACCAAACTTTTCTCGGAACAATTCACTCTGTCCGATAAAAAGAAAGATCTGCTCCGGCTCTTCCAAGACTGCAGGGAGAATCATCTTAACCATATTCATCTATGTTCATTACAAAGACGAAAATCCTGAGTGAGCAGCCGAACCCACCCGCAAAAGGTCCGAAGACCTTCGTCGATGGTAGTTTCGGGGAAATAAATCGAAGGCAAGAAGCGCTAGGATCCGCTCTCTGAGAGATTGACAAACGCAGAAGGTTATATCCTTTATCCTTAAGGCTATCAATTCCTGCAATATTTCACCGCCTCATCGTCGCATTTGTCCTTGCGTGTCGAAATGCGATGTAAAACGGGTGTTCATTTTCCAGTAGGGTTTACCCAACGTATGAAATCGGTATTTCCCTTCGATATTTCTGTTAAGAGTAAACCAATAACAGGAATCATCGCCGTGCTGGCACAACACTCAAGAACCTAGTGGGAAGGCAAAAAATCTCGTGCCAACCTACAGTGGCTTGCGACAGGTGTCGACTTGCAGGTGCCGTAGCACAGCTTTCTCGAGACTCTAGAAAAGTGGACATTGTGCTTCTGCTTAAACTCTCACGATCCTTCTTGAAAACGGATCAGCGAAGTATTCAAGTAAGTTTACCAATACTGCGTTACTCTTTAATAAGCGCATGGTTTCTCAGTTATCTCTCTGATTATTTTCGCCATCAGTTTTGTATGCGGAATAAAAGTGGAAGCAACGAGTTACGTGATTCTATGCAGCTAAGTTTCTTTTATAGTTTTCTGCTGTGATGTAGAGAATTAAAACTACCTTACTGCATGCATTAAGTTCCTTCATAAGCAGCACAACAAATTTACAAACACAGTCCCGGTCTTTTTCAAAAGCATCGTTGTAAACATCGTGAGGACTTCAACAAGGCAATACTGTCTCAGTAATGCCGTTCAGTACCAATTTAAAGAATATTTTGCGAGGACTGGAAGTGAAGTAAAAAGAGGGGGCAGTCGGTGTCCAGCAGCTATGCTGTGTTCACCATCTTCACTTCTATGTTAACATCGCTATTATAACATTTAAGCACTTGCCATGCGGAACAAATTTTGACTGTTTGACCGCAAACCGGAATAAAACGACATTTTTAAGAGGAACGTATTAGTTAGTGATACAAAATCCTCGCTTGATAAGTTCGTTACATGCGAGTGCTGCCACAAAGGATGTCCTGGTTTAGAAACTAATCTGTGGACTGCTATAGCTCGAGAATTGAAAACGAGGAAGCGTTCGAGCCACCACTTACATCTTTCAATGGTTAAAGCCTAGCAATATTGCGACTTACGCTAAAATGACGAAAACCAGGTGGATTGGACACTTTAGGTGTAACCATTTATCACTAGGAGAACCATTTAACGACTAAGTTCTACAGAATGTCAAGAACACAGCTTTCATACCAGCGACTCTGTACTTTGCCATTCTTTTGCACCATTATTAGTAACGAAAGCTGTCCGTGTTCATCAACTAAGCCAAACCAACAAGGAAACTCTAACGTGCAACAGGAACAGTTAAACGTCTCTCTCGGCGTTGATCAATCCCCGCATTCGACTTCATTAAGTTTCGTTGCAGGTGATTGAATGCATATCTGGCCTTTACAATGACTCGCGGTGTCTACCGATGTATTGAGCCGGTGCTGCTATCGTTTTAGACAAGTCTGGTACCAATTTGCCGACCCCGTATGGATAGAAGTCTTGGCCATAGGCGCGAGGATCGATTCCACGTTTGTGTCTTACAGTGGCGCCCCCAACCACTGCGCCACATGCACCCATGCAGGAACAGTTGCAGGGATTAATTGCTTGAATCTTTTTAAGGTTAGCGGAAAGGTGTGCGATCCATGTCCGACTTACCATCGCCAAGTTATCGAATTAAATGTAGCTATAGAAGTCGGCTATATGTTCTTTAATCTTTCGTGTTATTGTGGATGATTTCCCATCGCTAGTAGGTCTATTGACAAGTCCCCTGACGACCTTTAGCTGATTTTATCTGCAAATCGAATAACTATACGAGAAATCGCTGGACTAAAGCACTGTAAACAAATGTATTCGGATAACGAGAAATTCATGTTGGGGAAATTTCATTTTCGCTCTCTGATTGTTCAGAATGCTCTCCAACATGTAAGCTCCATCTTTACTCTGAAGAAGAGAATTTAAATCCTACTTACTGACGGAGTATTGCAGTTTATCTTTCGGTTGTCACCAAAAGTAGCAGGATCAATCGAAGAAGTATGGTGATTTTGGTAATGTTTGTTTGCTTTTGCAATGAGGAAAGCCCACATGATGAATCTCGCGCACGACAGGACTGTTAGGAGGTTTTGAAATGATGTCTACTTCAATTGCTCGATGATTCGTAAGGAAATTGATTGGCTAGATGGTTTTACCTTCGGAAACGTTAAATAAAAGGTGTTTTATATAAGCAAGCCAGGTTTCGGACCACATTGGAACGCTCACAGGTGACGGAGTTTAGTAACACGTTTTGGCATGTCGTGACATGTCTCCATTATGAAGTGTTTGGAATTCCTCTACAAATCTTGAATCTTGGAATTCCATTCATAAGCCCAACAAGTCGTTTATTCCTCCAAGGTCATTAGAACGGTGACAGCTCCGTTTACGAAGAATCGTGACCTCATTTGTCCATCGCCTGGCTCGGAGGGTTATTTTTAAGTCCAGTTCGCTGTTTTCTGCTAATCTACAAGCGAACCGCAAACGTAGCGGTGTTGACCATCAAGACTGATCAAGCAGCGACCTCTTAGTCGTTTTTATTGATTGTTGTTATTTTTACTTTTTTAGAAGACTTTTTGCATAAGACACCACATATTTCGCTGATCTCAGCACCTCTTTCATTCGATATTTTTGCTCAAGTACATCATCCACGAAAGTTCCTTAGCTCGAGTTCAGCTACTAAAAGATTTTTGGCCTTTCTTTTAAAATGAATATCATTGAGTTCTGGTGAAGTTGAGTCTCCCTGCAATTCTGGAGTAGCTGTGCTAGGGTGTTTTTAGGTCTCCATCATAACTAGTCGTCAACTATTGAGGACTAGAGCGATCTTTCCATGTAAGCATGTTCACATTCGATTCTTTCAACACTGAAGTAACAGGAGGTCTTTTGGCCCAGGGGAGGTGAACCCGAGCCCTCGTACTAAATGAACATCGTCACTACAACTACGCTTCCTTACTTCTTTCCTTCCATTATTATGCCTTCTAACTAATATTATTGTTATTGTTACTTTCTACTACTACTAATGTCAATTAGTGATATTTTTATTACAGGTGTCATCGTTACAAACGTTGATAATCATTAAAGTCAAAACGCCTACGACTTGGATTTCGAAAAAGGAAAGAAGCCAGAACAAAGTGATCCGCCTTTGCGAAGGAGTTCGTGTTCGAAATCGATGTTATCAGTCAACGGGGTTTTTGTAAATAGTGTGAAGTGTCGACTCACAAAACATTCTACAGATAACAGCAACATTGGTGGATAGAGAAAGAGTCCTTTATGATTTTTCTGACTTGGTAGCTTAAACGATTTCGCATCGACGAACAACTGATGCTCTTCATCACACTGCAGTCCGTCCACTCGGGTCTCCTCTGTCAATCGTTCCGTTGCAGTTATTCTATGGAAAATGATTCGTAATATCGCTCTAGAACTCGATTCATTTCAAATGTTCGTATTTAATGTCTGCTTTGGTTGCATTTAGTATTCGTTACTTGTTGAATAGCAGTCAGTAGCTACAATCACCTATGCTGCCCGACAGACTGTGTTTTGTCTCTATTCGTCTAAACTTCTTTCCTTGATTCCCTTTAAGATTTACGCTAAAACGATGAGTAATGATCTAAATTAGAATGAACCAGAAATCATGAAACTTGAAGCTATTTGGAGGAATTAATAGGAGTTAAAATAGACGATCTAGAATTAGATTTGGACCTGATTCGGCATCCTATGTAGAATCGGATTAATTCAAGTCTCCACTAAAAGGGATAAATACTTTGATGTCTGTAATTTGGTGACTAAAGCTTTAACGAAACATCCAAACACTACCTTGATGGTATAGAGCTTACTATGGCCAGAAATGACATTTTACCGCCGTCATCGTGATGATGATGATGATGATGATGATGATGATGATGATTACTTGAACATGACTTAAAACTTGTCTCTTGGAGAAATACCAAGTATTTACTTTTTTGTGATCAGAAACAAGATTTGAAAGACAAATTACGATACGGCTGACAACTGCCGAGCTCGATGTACGAGCTCATCTATCAACCAATTCGAACATGACTGGGTATCGATTCGCGTAAAGCGAGGTCTGTTTGCCGGGTCGTTGTCTTCTTTTTCTTCCTTTTCTTTCTGTGTTTTCGTTTTTCCTTTCGAGTCCCGAGTACTCTCCCATTCTCATTGTACTCTTTTAGTTCGGTACCGATCTCGTCTAGACATATCTAGTGTTTTTTTGTCGACCCAATTGAGTCTTCATCATGAGGGATGTACATGTTTCTCTTCCGCTTGCACACTTTCCTTCCTGTACGTCCTCTTTTTGTTTCTCATAACGGTGTCCGTTTATAAAGTGTACGTTTTGCGGAAGAAGAAAACAGTTCTTTTGAATTCGTTATCAGGTGGACGATGATTTATTAGGATTCTGCTCAACTAAAGTTACGATTTACAGTGAAATGCCTTTGCCGCCACAGATTCAAACTGTGCTTAACGATGTCGACAAACAATTACACGGTGACAGTCCTATCAATAATGTACTCGGGACTATCGAACAAAAATCAGGAGTAAGAAGACTTCACATCGTCCTCGGTACTTTTTCTTGCATCTGTGTTTTACCAAACTAATAATCCACTTGTAATTCAAGCTCGAAATTCGTTACTACTCTTAGAAAGAGCTGTGGACATATCTGATGCTTAATAGGGCTTAAGATAAAGGTATCAGCGTTGATCAATCTCTGACAGAGGTCATTGCATACCTGGCCCATACAATGAATGGTGGTGACCTAGCGATGTGTCGAGTCAGTGTTGCTATCCTCCCAAACGCCGAGGTTTATAGAAAGTCGGTCTTTCGAGTTGTTATATACATGATTTAGTTGCCGTTAAAGTATGCACCTCATTGATTTTATTTATCTGTGTCAAGTATTCTGAAGAAAGGCGCTTGTGGCGCAGTGGTCGGAGGCACCCTGCAATACACATGGGATCGTTCCTTGCGCCCCTGGTCCGCCAAGCCTTCCATCCCACCGGTGTCGGCAAACGTACCATACTTGTCGAGGAGGACAGCACCACTGGCCCGATACATCGGAAAGCCATCACGAGTCATTGTAAAGGCCAGATATGCATTCAATCACCTCCATTGGGGGCATCTCTCAAGGATTGATCAGCGCCGTGAGCTTTATCCTTTATCCTTCAAGCATTTTGAAAATTTTGAACATGAGAACAAGGTACTGTTTCCAGCAACATGTTCCACCTTTAATGATGCCTACTTTTTCAATGTTTACACATTTTCAGTATTTGTACCATTTTTCTTCATAATAAACTAAGTAAAATATGGTGAGAAGCAACGCAATCATTACTAGCATCACTGAGTGAGCTCCATGATTTACATCTAGGAGTTGCTGCGTTGCAAGCGCTCTACCTCATCTTTGGCCACTTTGCTCAGCTTGTCTGTAACTTCATGGGATTTATCTACCCGGCATACGTGAGGTTAGGTTATGGTTATGTGTTTCTTTGGAAGTATTTCATTCCATCATCATTTTCCTCTATAACAGAATAGTTTAGTGTGAAAGCGATAGAGAGTGCAACGAAGGTCGATGACACTCAGTGGCTCACCTATTGGTTAGTGTTTTCCATAGTTTACGTTAACTACTAGGCTATGAATTTTCCTCAGAACTGCATGTTAATAATATTTCATATTGTGATATTGTGGATGTGCGTGTTAGTAGTTCCCACAGAAGATATGCCTTTGATTTCTTGGGCGATAGTGATCTAATGCTCAAGTGATTTTTTTTGTTGTGGGTCTTTTTACATGCGTAAAAATGTAGATTGTTTTCCTATTTTGCGTTTTTGTTCCTAAGTACCACTCTTCAGGGTTGTATTCGCCGTCTTTTCTGTTGCTGAATTTTTCTCTCAACAAATCCTTTCCGTCTTCCCGGTGTATTGGCTGTCTAAGTCACTGTTCCTGCTCTGGCTTTATTTGCCGTCTACCATGGGCGCTACGAAAATATATCACAAGTAACATTGTTATTATTATTACCATGTCTAAGGGTGAACAAGTTGTGTACGTCCATAGTTCCATTTATTTAAGGATGATCAAACCATTTGTTATGAAACATCATACATCGATTGATCAACGCATAGAAAATATTGCGGATAAAGCAAAAGATGGTGAGTTGCCTAGCTTAAGTATAGTATATTACGCCGAAATAAGAATATGATCATGAAATAATAGATTAACTAGCAGGTACTCCTTATTTCTTCTTAGTAAAAAAGACTGTTGGAGAAGGCTTCGTTACAGTATTAAGTGTTTTTTGTTCCACGTTAATGGTTGGTTTCTCACATTGCATCGTTTTTCTTCGCCGAGAAATCCTTTATAAATCAAGCATGAAGATTTTATATACGAACGAATGGTTAAGAAAATATTACACAAGATTGTTAAGACGGCGAAAATTGTCAAACTGAAATATAGAGGCTGAAGCTATACGGATAGTTTTATTATGTCGGATTTTATGACGTTGCGCTTGAAATGAAATTTATTCACTTAGTTGTATGAGACTGAATGACATTACAACCACAAAGATGCTGAGATATGAATAAAACTTAGGATCCCATATGGGCTTCAAACTGGCCATCACGCTTGCTGGGGACTCACATCCTATCCACTAAACCAACCGAGGCTATTTTTACTCTGTCGAAGCTATCAGCAACCATCCGTCAGTGGGAATCTCAGCCGAAAGAAAAGCACAGCAGTGGTCTCCGTTGGTGTGGTGGATAGCTCGCGAGTCTCTGGTAAGGGTAATCGTGGGTTCGAACCCACATGCGGTACCAAGTTTTACGTGTATCTCAGCATGTTTGTGGTTGTACATCGTATCGTGCCCTACCATGTAGAAAGAACGGGTAGTAAGTGAGAATTAAAGCATTGTGAATGATAGTTTTTATTTCGTGATCTTATATTAGTAAACATATGCTTGCTGAAATAGTGTGAATCTATAAATAGTGTGGCCGAAACATACATTTTTGGAAACTATTATTGTCGTTAACACGCTCAGTAGTGTTAGTATAATTGGTTAGATTTTTCATCGTGCAGTTGGTTATCCTGGTCTCTAATTGTGTTGTTTTAGCAATCAGAAATGTCAGTCATGAAGTCAACTCTCACTTGGACTAAAATGCAGCACAACTGTAGTGTTAGTCGGTGTAGTCACCCGATTGAGACCTCATCTTTGTTTGTATTTTTTTACAACTCATGTTGATATTGCCTGGTTTGGACACTTTTTATTCCCTTCTCATGGTTAAATCGTTATTTCGAGTTTTTTTTCCACATTTTCAGAAGTATACAAAGAAGTCATCTTGCAAACAGTCGGTTCATCTTTTTTCTCTCCTTTACAAATTCCATTAGTGTACAGTGTCATTATAAGATTTGTAGTTAGTACTACATAAAGGTTGGTAATATTTGTTTTTGCTTAGTTTGCCACTAATACCATGGATCTCCATGGAACATCTTTGGTTTGTGCATAAGTCTATCTGAGAGGCATTATCAATCGGCAACAAATGGGAACAGCTGTACAACATGAGATCTTCTGGAGTTCCTAATCGAAAAATCTTCCTGTACTGTTTTAATGTGTGGTGGCATTTATTTTGAATGTTAGGGAGAATTTATCGAAATCAGTAGATCCAACAATATTTGGAACTTGTGTGGTGGCGTGCTACCATGCTTCAGGGTTTTATCTTGCTCAAATATCTTTTGGTGATTCTTACACGCAGTAGATTGCCATTATCTTCATTTCTCCCATATAAGTGATACAATGGTGAAATTGGCGTCGTTGGTATATTACATTGCGTTATTCGTTGTTCATTTTATAGATATCCATAAGTTCATCAAAAAAAGAACTAAGGCATGTTTTTATTTTGACTATATATAGGTATGAATCAGTTAATGTTGTGCAGAATGTGTTGGTGAAAATATTGACCAAAACTGCTGATTGTGTAACCGACATAGCTGTGACAATAGTGTTCCTTTTATTACTTACCGTACCAAAACAAACGGGTACAGTAGGACATTTTCTATTGTTCAGAAATTATAATTTCTGCACTCAGTGTGATGTCTTTGGTTACCAACAAACATCAAAAATAAGGTATTCTGATGAAGAAGTTCAGCTAAGACTAAATCTAATCTAAGAATAGTAGCTGTTCAGAAAAAAGCCGTAGTGGGTGGATGACACAGTTTTCTGTACACAAGGGCAATGGTTGCATGTGTAGGGAAGGCTACGAATGCCCTGGTACGATTATCGTAGAATTCACGGCAGAACTCGATCAGTATAAGAGAAAAAAGCAGTGTCACGTCAGAGCATGAGAACTTTAGTCTAACGGACGTCAGATGATTGATGAGAGGCGATAAGACCTCGAGTTATGGTAGATATAACCGATGAGGGAATTGGTAAAGTCAACTGTAGATATGATAACAGCCCGGGTTTGCGTAAAATTTGTGTCTACAATGAGACAGTAGAAACACTGTAATGGTAACTCCCACGACCGACTTTCTATTAACCTCCGCATTGATTGAATAGTTGTTTTTATTTCTGTTTAGCAAACACGAGGTCTTATTTTATTTCTTTATTTACCTACAAGCTGACGGTTCCGCGGATTTCGCTTTCCTCAGAGCCTGGAGAAATGAAGTTGACAGCAGTCTGTCTGGCCAAACACCTCCATAACCAAGCAGAAAAAATGTTAAACGGGAATTTTAATCACACTGGACACAGAGTAGCTTCTTTGCACACTCACCGCTTTCTGTGAGTCTTCCACTGGGTATGTCACGTGGACACGTGGAGACAAGCCGCACAGAGTTCACGTGGAATCGTATGTGCCCATCTCATCAGATAACAGACTTGTATACTTCTCAGTATCACACGTCATTATGAGGCATTCTTCACTGCGGTTCATTTCCGGATTCTTGGAATTAATCCACAATTCCTCTAGAGTTTTGCGCGCTTGTGTTTTTGCTTGTGCGAGAATCGTAACCTTTACTTCAAACTCTTCTCCGTTATGTCTTTGCGTCCTATACGTAATGGAGTATTTGATTTAAGTTTACCGACTAGGTGTTCTTTTATGCGGACATAGAGTGGTCTACCCGCTTCGCCAATGTATTCGTCCCCGCACGCTTTACAAGAGATCAGATAGATTGTACCCGAGTTCATGCAATCACTGTCTCTGCCATTAGGACAAATTATGCAATTTTGTGTTGCACATAGACGGTCGTAAAGGCGGTTACGAACTAGCTGGCGTCTTAGATTACTCGGTGGCATTCCAATTACGGTTACCGAATTCTCTAGACCGCCTTTCTTAACCAGCGTTTTATAGCTGCACTTACTTCATTTGAAATGAAGGGCAGGATAAATGGGATTTTATTATCGCTAAAGTTGTTGTTTGGGGGTCTAGGATATCCCCTACACCTATCTCGAGCTACACTTTCGTAGTCATTAGAAATCGCTATTTGCCGTGCTAAGTTCCGAGACTCCTCTCTCTGCTCTCTTCCCGTGCACACGTTGGTTGCTGTTAGAAACATGTTTCTTACAAGCGCCCTTTTCTTGTGAGAGGGGTGAGAGGAGAGGTAATGAGCCAAGATGTTTTTACTACTTGGCTTTCGGTACCACTTCGTAATGTAGCTATTTTCTGACAGATTAATTTGGACGTTCAGGAATGTAAGCCAGTTTTGTTTCGGTTTCTATCGAATGAATTTGATATGCTCTGACCGTTCGTTCAACAACTCGAAACATTTGTCAATTTCCTCTTGTGTTGAGCAAATGACAAAGCAGTCATCTATACATCTGCAGTAGAGTAACGGCGCGAGACCGGTTACTGGTGCTTCCACCTTAGACATTAACGCAATGACAAGGCTTGGTGCTAGTCGCTGTCCCATTACCAACCCTCTCACTTGAGAGTAGTGCTTTCTGGACCATCTGAATATTGAGCAGTTTAGTGCACTGTAATAGTGTTTGTCAGGTATGAACATCTAAATAAAGCTTTCTACTAACCTCGTGCTAGCTTATCAGTGAAAAAATAAACACTGAAATAGTGTTTGTTATACATGTTCAAGCATTGTGTGATCTATTTGCGTCATTTGTGGTCCGATTTGCAGAAGGTAGGCGTTGAAAACTATTTCCTGTTATCTCATCTCATAATGGACATTATCGACGATTGTGAGCTTGGTATATGGTTAACACCATGAGAATTAGACCTTGGTGGAAACGCCAAGCACTCCTCACCACCCAACCGTTTGGTGTATCTCATCAATCTCGTTGATTTATGCAGTCGACGAAAACTCCAGCACCTTTTTTTGTTAATTTCGTCAATACTGAACATCTCCTTCTTTCTTACTCGTCTTAGATGTGCTTAAGGATTTATTCGCTGTTCTGCATTTCATAGATGCAGGGTTATCAGAATCGTCAGAGACAATCAACCGAACTGTATTCCTCTAGATGATCGACAATTTCCGACAACTTTGAACTTCGGAAAAAAACAACACTTTACAGACAATGGTTATAAGCTGTCGATAAAGTGGTACTACAGTGAATCTGCTTTATAGAAGTGAACTGTCTTCGGTTGTTTTCCTTTTTTTGTTTTATTCCGCTCATTTTCACATCTAGTGTGTGGATGCCAGCTCTCGCATTCGATACCTCTCCTCATATTCTCCATCCATGAAGATCTTCGAATTTTCGCGTATGAGTTCAGTTGCTGCTATGTATAGACGAGATGTTTTTTAGATAGTTCTCAGATGCAAAATCGAATAACAACACATCTTAACCACAATTAAAAAAAAGAGATTCAAGAACATAACAGAGAAGTATTTTTATGACGACGATTTCCATACGGTAAATGATGATGACTGAAGGAAGAAAAACTGAGGTGATTTCGCTAGTCGCTAGCAACTGTAGCGCAGTGGTCAGAACAGTCCTTAAATACATGCATGGTCGTTGGTTCGATCTAGAGTTCTAGATAAATCAAGCTTCAATCTCTGTGAGTACAGTAAATGGGTCTCAAATTTGTCCGTAGTATTAAAAACACTCACTTCATCCAACTGTAGGCCTCTGCATTCCATTGTGTAGAAGAAGTTTGCTTTCAGTTATGAAAACAAAAAGAGTCTCATTCGTAACATCATGGCTCTGAGGAAGGCAAAATCGCCGAAACGTCAGCCATCGATCAACAACAGCGACAACGACAACGAAGACCAATACCAACCTCGCATCAGCTCAAGAAAATCAGTTTATAAGATCATATAAATAAGTATATCAACCATCTATGCCGAGGCTTATAGAAAGTCCATCTTTTTAGTCATCGATTTTTTTTGTTATTTTACTCGACCGGACATCACATTTTGTGCGGATTTCAGCACTTCTTCCATTCAATTTCCTAACCGATCTTCCTTAATGGTCTTCGGATTTGCTCTGGATTTGGCGGGTGGTTGAGAAATTTGGTAATGATGAATGTCAAAAATGCTGTTTGAAAAGATCTCCTTCTGAAATCCCGAAAGAACCGTGCATGAATTCAAGGATTCTTTCCTAGAGAAGCCTAGTACGGATTTGCCGAAGGTGCAAATGGCCTGGTTGGCTCGGTGTACGGTCGAACCAGATCTTTAAGCGTATTATTGAAAGGTATCGATCTCAGCCTTGTAGAAGTTATATTTCGCAACACACCCTGCCATTAAAAAGAATAGGCAATAAATAAAAAGGTTAAGATTTTGATTATACTTTTAATTGTTTTGTAAAGAAAAATTTGCCTTCCAAAGTCTTTTAAAACCTATTGACAACGAATCCCTAGGAACATAAGAAAATATGGCACAAAATTTTCACGGAATTCGCGCGATAGCTTTTTTGTCCCAAACGAAACTGTACAGGTGTAGGTTGAGAAGTTCGGAATAAATCTGAGCTCAATATATTTGTTTGGATTATCAACCTTAAACGGGCTTGTTAAATCTTTATTCGGCCTTCGACGTCCTCATTTTCAGCACAACCAATGATCCGAGTCGATGGTCCACAGTCGTTCGGGCTTACACCGTGGGTCTTCCCAAACATTTCGAGTCGAATCTTTTTGTGTGGGACACTGCTCAAATGAAGTAACCTTACTCGGTGGTGTTCTCTTATACAGGGTGGTTGTTGAGCGATTGTCGACCATAGTTAAAACTCAGTCAGAGCTAAATCAATCAATGAGCTCAAAGCTCAATCATTCATAGTTGCAAAAAACACATGTTGCGCTTTTTTTTCGCCGTTTGGATAATTGAATGTACACATTTGCATACACATTGAGTTTGTGTAATTTGACAAACCGACTCATTGGTCATTAGAGGAGGATCTGGAGTTAGGTTTCAGTATTCTTAGTGCACAACATTTCCCCAGGTCTCCCTTTACATTGTGCAGTTAAACAATTTTGTTTCCATGTGGTTTTGCTTTCAATTTAGAGCACTTGCTTGGAGATTTACATTGATGGTCCGTTTTTACATATAGCAAAGACCTCAACACTTCCGCTCGTTTCGTTGAGTGGAATAATCCACATTGATGGAAGGACTCGAAAGCAAATTCGGCTGAGCTTCCAAGATTTGGCATGGAGTGGAATCATCTATCCTTATCGACTTGTTGAATGTTTATTTTTTATTTATTTATTTATTATTTTTGTAGGATTTTAAGGTAGTAGTCTTGGGTCGCGCTAGATCTTCACCACAAGAAGTGGCACATCCTTAAGTATCAAAAAAAGATTTCGAATACATTACGGTTTAGAACGTCGGTGGATTCCTGGTATTAGTTTACACTCGACTAGATTTTCAGATGTTTTATGTCAACTTTTCAGCATGGGAAAGCACGCCGGATGTATGGACACCGATGTGCAGTGCAGTCCAACATCCAAGAATACTAACGTCAAGCAAAAGCAGAAGATTGTCGAAGACATTTAAACTACCTAGGTAAAAACTGAAAAGGAATAAATTCTAGTACTATTTTGCACAAATTTAAATTTGAACATAAAGTAGCGGATTTTGCGTGTGACCAGGTTGACATCGCTAAGTGAAGTAGAGCGAAACAAGAAAGCATTCGCACAAGCACGCACAATACATATAGACATATATGTGTATATATACATATATATACATACATGCATACACATATACATGCACGCAAACACATACATATACGTAAATATAAATTTATATATATATATATACTTATATATACAAACACACACATCTAACTATGCGTGAAAGAACAAGAAAGAAACGCTAAACTGTTACAGGGGTATTTTCAAGAAGAGAATTTTGAGCTGGTTAGCTTGGGTGATCGCACTTGGGTGACAAACTCTTTACTTCATATGCTGGTCTCTGTTATGCAGACTACCTTGAACTTTATTTATGTGATCTTATAAACTGATCTTCTTAAGCTGACGCGAGGTTGGTACAGATCTTCGTTGTCGTTGTCGTTGTTTTTGATGTTATTGATCGATGGCTGACGTTTCGGCGACTTCGCCTTCCTCAGAGCCTGGACGTACTTTATGTTAGAATACCTTGAACTTCTTATGCAAAACGAGGCAGCAAAAAACGTTTACGGCTTCTAAATTCAGCAGTTAATACTCCTTTTAAAGGAGTGCATATACTGCTCAATCTTCAGTTGGTTCCGAAAACATTACACAAAATGAGAAGATTGGCAGTGAGTGGGACATGGACTGGTACGAAGCATTGCCATTGCCCTTAGGTCTAAGGTGGAAACATCAGTAATTGATCACCGGCCACAAGAGGAAATGGACGAATGTCTTCAGTTATTGAATGAACAAACAGAATACATTAAGCTTACCTGAGAGAAACCGAAAGAAGACTGGATTCCATTTCTGGGATCCTGGGATTAACCTGTCCGAAAACGGCTACATCAAAAGTGGCACTGAAAGCCAATTAATAAAAACATACAAAAACGTGCTGGTTCATTACCCCTCCCTTCACCACTCACACATAAAAAGAGCGCTTGTGAGAAGCGTGTTTCGTACAGCCACCACTGTGCACAGAAAGAGAGGAGAAAGAACAACGCCTGAAATTGGGGCGGAAAATAGCCATTTCGAATGGCTACGAAATTGTAGCTCCACGGAATGAGTTTACAGAAAAAACACGCTCCAAACGCTGTGTCTAGCGAGAATAAGGTCCTGTTTATCACGGTCTTCGTTTATAAGGTAATAAGCAGAGCTATAAAGCGGCAGTTAAAAAGGCCGATGTAGAGAAATCAATAGCAGTGACTGAAATACCACGGAACACTTCATGACACCAGCTAAATCGTGGCAGTTTGCATGACTGTCTAGGCACGACGCAAAATTGCATGACCTGTCCTGACAATAGGAACGGTGATTCGAGTACGACAGCCATTAGAATCGGCTATTTGTCGCACCATTTTCAAGGAGTCTTCCTTCTGCTCTCTGTTGAGCAGTTACAGTGAGATTGCCTTTCTAGGCGCTGAAGAGCGCTAAATTAGCAGAGATGTCAGCTTCTTTGTGACTAAAGAATAATATAACAACATCGTCTTTGCTCAACTAGGAAAAAAAATCATATGAAAGAAGTGCAATTTAATACCCTACTCGGTTGTTAAGCAAACATGGTGTCGATAAAAAGATTTATTCGGTTTGCGTTTCGACGTCTTCGTCATCTGGACCTTACAAAGCCAAGTTTTTAGTGGATGTTCTAAATAACTGCATAGTGGACTCTACGAAGATTCAGCCGTCGCTAGGACGGCCACCTACACGTTGGGCGGACGTGTTCGTGAGTAAAGTCAATCAGCTGTACTTACAACTGCAGTTTTTCCCTGATCATAGTATGAGACTCGCACTCGCCACCATATTCGAATCAAACCACCACCATAGACGACGATCTCTAGGTAGAGAAACAAATGTAAAATGTGTTGACGTTCGCACAGTTGGTGAAGAAGGATCCTCCAGGTATCCAAGTAGGGAAGGAAGTTTTGCATAACTATCGTTAACAAAGAGAAGCGCTTTAGCGACCCAATTTTCAACCTTTCGTTTCGCGCCAAAATTTAATGTGCTCGTCGCGGCTTATGTAGGTGAACCGTTCACAAGTTGGACACTGGCGAGGCGTATTGGCGGTATTTAGTCAGTGTAGAATCTCCAAAGTGTTTGCGAGATTTGTTGTGGCAGAGAGGACCTAAGTATCGTAGCAGCACATCTGGTCACTGTAGACAAAAGATTCCAAGGTTTATTCCGTCACTTCGAAAGATATTTTCTCCAAGTTCACCTTAAAATCTTTCAATCTCATCCGATGGTATGTCTCATACTGACGACACGCATGGAGAATAATCATCGTTATAACAAAGAATGAGGAATGAAATTTGGGAATTTATAGGAAGAAATCTATAACACTAAGTGAAATACTGGTGAATCAATTCGTGGTCAATCCTCTTTTAATTGACGATGGTAGGATGAGGTCACACCCTATGCCCCAGAATCACTGATGATCATCTTGTTTGGGCAGGCAATAACGGTGGAATATAAATTTACAGAAAGTTGAACACCGAACTCTTTTCATTCGACTATTCACAGCATTTTGTACTACTTCATACAGTTACTTCCAAGTTCACCCTCGCCGCGAAGCATTTATAAGCGGGGAACGAATGCCTACTGCGCTTATCGATGAGTGACAAAGGCCTTAAACATAACTGTTTGTACATAATGGGGAATAGCTGGAATCTCTACTACGTTCCTATAAACATGAAGTGTGGATGCGTACCGGATAAATCCTTTTACGAACGGTGGAAAATTGACCTCATGCGCAACAGACAAATAGCTGGCTTTATTGATTTGAGCTTTATTGAGCTGGCACAGTACACACCCTGTATTTAATGGGATGGCAATATATGATAAGGAACAATCAACGTTTCCATCTAAATATCAAGTTATTCTCCTTTTTGTTTTGTTCCAGGTCATTTTAGCACGACACAATTTCCAGCTGACCTCGTTCACAGTTTTTCTCTCATACGCGGCCCGCGTTGGCCGATGCACTTTAGTATCGACCGGAGTCGCAACGTGAGGGCCCGATGAGCGGCTATATAAGACGCGCTGGCTCGACCTTCCCATTCGTCTGCTGTGTGTTGGCTTACTATCGTCGGCATGTCTGGTCGCGGAAAAGGAGGCAAAGGGCTGGGCAAAGGAGGAGCGAAGCGCCATCGTAAAGTGCTCAGGGACAACATCCAAGGAATCACCAAGCCGGCAATTCGTCGTCTTGCCCGTCGTGGTGGTGTTAAGCGCATCTCAGGACTGATCTATGAGGAGACTCGCGGCGTCCTCAAAGTTTTCCTTGAGAACGTCATCAGAGATGCCGTCACCTACTGTGAGCATGCGAAGAGAAAGACAGTGACGGCCATGGATGTCGTGTACGCTCTCAAACGTCAAGGACGTACGCTGTACGGTTTCGGTGGGTAAGGAAGCCTAATCGATAAATCTAACCCAACGGCCCTCTTTAGGGCCACATTCGATGCTGTTGAAGTGCGTCATTGTTGTTGTAGTGTGATGTACTCGACGAAATAAAACATTGTTGAGTAGTGTGTTCCACATTGCTATACATCAGTTAGAACTCATTAGGCTACGGATTGATAGCGAGCTGTGCTCAGTCTGTTTACTATCGCTGTGTCGTCGACACTATCTGTACTCGGTGGTTATGGTTTCACAGGCCACCGCGTAGGGTGGGAGCCTGACCTCTGGTGTGCCCACGTCGCGCGCCGCCAAATTTTGAAGGGGCGCGAGCGGGTGGTAAACAACTGCCAGACGTCAACGCCGACTAGAGAGTACCTATGTAGAACGTGAGTTTAAAACATTGATTGTCAAACCGAACACTAAGAGAGTGGGACGAAGTAGTGAGAAAAACGAGAAGAAAAATGCAGAAAAGTGCCTTCGAACCCTTTTAATTGGTGCATGCGTTCGATTCTAATGCGCTTTACACATGGTATACAATGCGTTTACGTTAGATTAAGTCCGATTGATTAGCACTGTTGCCCACTCTGCTGTCGATTGCATCTCGTTAAGCTGTGAATAACTAGAACCTAATGCTACCTTCCAGTTCATACCCCATTGATCCCCGCCATACCAGACCTAGAGGCCGGCAATCGCGATTCGGCGCAGAGCTGCCTGTCCGACAACAGGCCTCCGCGCCGCCATCTCGCGCCGAGATTGTAGTGAGCGTGACCGCGTCGTGCGACCGCGCTGCGTGGCAGGGCGACGCTACGGTGTGAGAGATGAACAACAACCGGGTCACTATTGCAAGGATTCAGATCTGGACTGCCGTGTTGTAAGCACCTACACCACCACCGAAACTTGGTGAGGGGTAGGGATAAGGCAATGGTAAAAGACAGTGAATCCTGTGGGAACGGATGAAATAAAACTGTCGGTCATTATTCCCAGCAATTCGATCCAGAATATTTCTGATGACTTCCCGGTGGGTTTTGTAAAACTTCAAGTTTGCTAGGCCTTTCTAACAGCTTATCGTTTTGAATTGTGTTGCTACTACGAAACAGTTGGTAGTCAGTAATTCTACGGGGTTTGCATCGTACTACAAACCCTTCTGTGTTCAGAAAACTCGGGTCATCTTAAAGTACAGGAAAATGAAAGCAGTTGTTGTAACAATATCCCACTACTCTGAAAAAAACCAGGAACTCAGGATACACGAAAGTCTAATTGCATTAAACGTAATTCGCCAATAGAACTCATCAAATTCTCGATGCTTTCCTCTTTATATGTTAATGACAAGAAATGAAAACAAAGCCTTTATCAGGATTACAAATTAATCAACGTACTCGACAATGGTTGTGACCCTAACGAGGGCCGTTGGGTTAAAGCTGTGTTCTATTACCCACGCCTTATTCCTTTTCTCCACCGGTCTTCTTCGGCAGAAGTACAGTCTGGATGTTCGGCAGAACTCCTCCCTGGGTGATCGTTACTCCCGAGAGCAGCTTATTAAGCTCCTCGTCGTTATGAACAGCCAGTTGGAGGTGACGAGGATTGATTCTAGACTTCTTGTTGTCACGAGCTGCGTTACCAGCCAACTCTAGAACTTCAGCTGCCAGGTATTCGAGGACTGCTGCGAGATAGACGGGAGCTCCACCACCAATCCTCACTGCATAGTTGCCTTTGGGAAGCATTCGGTGAAGTCGCCCAACAGGAAACTGTAGGCCAGCACGCGACGATCTCGACTTTGCTTTGCCTCCAGTCTTGGCCTTGCCTCCTTTTCCGCGTCCTGACATTACCACGAAATGAATCGACGAGCTGCAACAGAAGCTCACGAATGTGTTCGCAGCGACAAAAGGATACGCACGCTATTTGTAAGCTCCGCCTTCCATTAATGAGCACAGAGGCGGAGCTTCCCCACGATTGCATTATAAATTTGTTTGGAGCGAAGGGTTCCACATTCGCGCTTTCTGCGAGCAGTTGTTATGCCACCAAAGCCGTCAGCCAAAGGAGCCAAGAAGGCAGCGAAAAGCCAGAAAGCCAGCCGAGGTGGTGACAAGAAGAAGAAACATCGTCGAAAGGAGAGCTATTCGGTCTACATCTATCGTGTGCTGAAGCAAGTACATCCCGACACTGGTGTGTCCTCGAAGGCAATGTCGATCATGAACTCATTCGTCAACGATGTTTTTGAACGCATTGCTGCTGAAGCGTCACGTCTAGCACACTACAACAAGCGGTCAACGATCTCATCCCGTGAAATCCAGACCGCTGTGAGACTGATCCTCCCAGGAGAACTCGCGAAACATGCAGTCTCCGAGGGAACCAAGGCGGTAACCAAGTACACTTCTAGCAAGTAGACCTCCCACCGAACGATTGAACTAACCCAACGGCCCTCTTTAGGGCCACATTCGGTGTTGTCTATCTCTGAATGCTTTTCGTGTTGAATTAATAAAAAGGCTTGTCTGTCCTTTTCTACTTATACTGTATTCACACTATAAACGTGGGTTATACACTCGAATGCTTGAGTTTTTTCTAAGGTCAAGAGCATGTAGTTACTTGATGAGTATAGGATGGAATTCCTAGGCATTTTATGGTTACAGGGAATGATTTTAATCCGAGCACTGGTGTAAATCGTCCACAGAATGGCCTTAAAGCACCAACGTTCTACTCCTTAGTATGTCCCAGGTGTGCCGCCCTTGAGGTCACATACGTGGTCCGCATCGATTACTGGGACGCTGCGCGACCGCGCGCATTCGGATTTCGGCGGGCCAGGAGCCCAGCTGGAATTCGATAATTTGGGCTTTTGTGAGTTAAGAGCTTGAGTGTTAGGCAAGTGAAATGAGTAGGAGTGCGAATGGTCTGTGTTATCATCGGATTGAGAAGCACCTGGTAAGAGGGTGACCATCTAATGAATGAGAAACGTTGAGTAAGACTGGCATAAAGATGTGTCGTCTTATCTGCGTACCATTTAATTACATAAGAGGCGAAGTGAATCTGTCAAATTCCTACAATCGTACATTCTTCGTATTCTGTGGTGATATGCATAGTGTCTAGTACGTTTGATATATTGATGTACACAGCTTCGTCGGGTCTCTTTGCTTGTTCGTCGACGTAATATGAAGATTTCTTTATGAGATGGGTTCCTTCGATTCGACACCCGTTGTAGTAGTCGATTGGCTTTCGTTTTGTCTGGCTAATGCTTAATGGTATAATAACTACGTTGTAAAATAGAGCAAATTTGTTGTAGCCTTCACTCATTAGATGCTACTTCCACATTATTATACCCGAGTATCAGGAGTACCACAGAATATTTTTATTGAGATTGCACCGCTTTTAAGACCTCTCTATGATGATTTACTCCAATGATATTGGTGTAAAACGATGAAATTCTTGTCGTGAGGTTGCTAAGCCTTGGCTGACAGAGTTTCCATGACTACTTATGCATTGAATTCGTTGTAGGCCTTTTTAAATCAATAAAACCTATCGATTCATTATTGTTTATAGTTATCGTACGGGTATGATCCATCATGCAGAATTCTTTTGCAATGCTACATACACCTCATGGATGTTCTTCATTCAATGTTGTGCTGAACACGTTTTACACTTGCTGAAGTGTTAGAGCGAAAACTCCGGTGAAGTACTCGTAGAGACGGAGAGATTGGATGGTAATTGCCGATGTGGTGCAGGTCTTCCTTTCTGCACAACAATCCAGTTCTGCAAGTTTTCTTGGGAATTCAGATACTCTTTGGTCGGAGGCATGTACGCTAGCGAAGTGGTTAGAAGTGCTCTGGAATGCATATTTGCTCGTCGGTTCGTCCCTATGCTTGTTCGTCGGTTCGATCCCGTGTCCTGGGCTCACAAAGTCTTCTATCGTTTCGGGGTCACAAGTTGTTGTATACGATAGAAATGCACTCAATGCAGTCACCTCGAACGACGCTTCATGAAGTCGAATGCATCCTTAAAGGATTGGTCAACGTCGAAAGCTCTGCCCTTCGTTCATCGGGGACTTTTCGACTCTTGAATTTGGAGCTGTTCTCGTTTGCAAGAGACAACTAATGCACAACGATGATCTAGAGCTGTGTAGAACATTGGGACAAGATCTATTGTGGAATATCGTTAATTTAAGACGGTAAAAGTGAATCAGCACATCTTTTTTTCGCCAAGGATGGTTGCAAAATTTTAGCGGACTCGCTGAGCTCAACTTTCCCAATGTTATCGTTTCAGAATCTCTTCGTTGCCAAAGGAATTTAACCTTTTGTTTTACTGATTTTGACGACGGATAGGAAGCGTCTTTTTCTTTTTCAGCAATCGCGAGGTGGTTATACAGCATACATTTACTTCCGTAGGGAAGACAAGTACAATACAACAGTGGCTGACGTTTCGGCAGCATCGCCTTCTAGAGAGCCTGGAAGGGCACATTGATACGCAATTTACTACGCCAAACGATTCAATATCAGAAACAGAAAGACGAAAAACTACATGGAAATCACATGATCAGCAGCTTGTTGGAAACCTACCGTTTTTAAGTGCCTTCCACTGAGGAGAAAAGAAGAGCTGATCAGATTCGCATGTGGTTGATGACTATACTACCCCACATCAGAAATCTATGCGAAAATAAGGGGCGAGATCACGTGAGATCTCTAAACATTCCTCCCAGCTTTCATTCAATGTAGGATTTTTGGTATTTATCCAAAAGGCTTCAAGAAGTTTGCGCGTTGGTGTTTGGGGATCCTGTGCGAGGATAGCGATTTTTTTATCAAAATTGTTTCCGCTATACTTTTGTATCCTATGCGTCCCTAGTAGAGCACTTTGTCTTGTTTTTTGTTCGTCATCTGTTGTGCTTTTATACGAATACGTAAAGGTCCGCTAGAATTTGTGGAAATGAAGCCCGAGAGGTGCTGCAGTATGAGGAAAACTCGCAATCTCATTTGGGCATTGAAACATCGATCACCTTTTACATGAACCCACGTGCTATTCAGCATATGAAAATGTTGTCTTACGAACACCCAGATGTCCCTGAATCGTCTACGTAAAGTGCGTCTTAACGAAGGCGAAGCCTTAGAAGTTATCGTTCTCTATACAAACGTTTTGACCAACTCCGCTATGCAAGCCAACCTCGAACTCCTTATACAACACGAAGGAGCAATAAACATGTATGGCTTCTCGGCTCAGCATCTCATGGCCTTCCTCAGGAACTGTCTAAACTGCTCAATCTTCAAATACGCAGTACTACGCGGGAAGTATTACGCACAAATGAGAAAGTTTGCAATGGGACAACGACTGGCATTAAGTCTTGTCATTGCGTTTATGTCTAGGATGGAACCAGTAGTAACCGACTTTCAGCCATTACTCTACTGTAGATATATAGATTATTGCTTTGTGATTTGCTCAGCACAAGAGGAAATGGACAAATGTTTTGAGCTATTGAATGGACGGTCAGAGTTCATTAAGTTTACCCGAGAGAAAACGAAGGAAAACTGGCTTACATTCCTGAACGTTCACATTAACCTATTCGAAAACGGCTGCATTAGAAAATGGTACCGACAGCCAAGTAGTAGAAACATGCTGGGTCATTACCTCTCCTCTCACACCTCACACATCAAAGAGGCACTCTCGAAAAACATGTTTCGGGCAGCCAACATTGTCTGCATATTAGGAGCAGAAGAAAGAAACTTTGAAAATGGGGCTGTAAAGAGCTATTTCCTATGGCCACAAAATGGTAGCTGCGAAATTTGCTTAGAGGAAGAACCATACCCCTAAAGGATATGCGAGGATAAACTCCCGTTTGTCCTGCCGTTCATTTCTAACGAAATAAGCGGTGTATAAAACAACGCTTAAATAGAGCAGGTCTAGAGGAATGACTGAACTACTAACGAACATTTTAAGGCTCCGGATAGTTCGTAACCGCTTGTACAATCACCTATGCACAATAAAAAAAATAAATAACCTGCTTTTACGGTAGAGATGGTGTTCGTATGAGTTCAGGTATGGTTATATGATCTCTTCTAAAGCGTATTGTACGAATACACCGCCAAAACGGCTCATGGAGCATTCTGGATAAATTCGCTATCACGCTTTTTGGAGACCAACGCGTCCACCACCACGCCATGCTGGTCCTTCGTTTCGCATTTCTTTTAGCCAGTTTTCTATCTATCAATGCCATCCAAAATCGCTTGTCAACGGGATTTATCTAACGAGCACAAAACAGTGTTGAACCCAGTTCACATAATACTCTTTCCTTCAAAAATTGTAGCAGGCAGCAAATAAAAAGTTGATTGTGATTTCGACTACAACCTGAACTTAACTCGGTTCAATACCGCTTTGTGCTTTCCAGATCAATCCCGTTTCGATTGTTGATAGCACTGGTAGATAGAGAACTAGCTGAGAGAAAGATGAAACGAAGGTCCGGCATAGTGTGGTGATGGACGCGTTAATCCCGGAAAGGGTGATTGCGTGTTCGATCTCCACCGCAAACACCTGCAGTCCGAAGTTTTCCAAATATCTCAGTAACACTGCGCTTATACGTCACAAACCATTTTATTTTCAATGCGTTCGAAATCAGTTTAGCTAGTTCTCCGTGCGGTTGTGGAGAGGTAATGCTGAGTAGATTGCTGTCAACTTGATGTTTCCAGGAACTGAAAAGGCGAACTCAGCCGAAACGTCGGGTTTTCCGTTAATAAAGAATAAAGTGAGAACCTCATGCCTGCTCATAAAGAAAACACAGAATTATTTGATCAATTCCGAGATTAATAGAAAGTCAGTCTTGGGAATTACAACGAATGAAGTTCACTTCGAGCTGAGATGTGTTGCTTCGATATTAGAAGTGGCCAATATTTCGTCATCATTAGATGTACTAGACGTAAATCTTTATTTAATATATAATATTTGATCTGCCGCCTATTAATTTTTATAGGAGGGTAATACGTGAAATATAACCACAATGATGCTAAGATATTTGTAAAACTCGGACCCTAATCCAGATTCGAATCCGCAATTAACCTTTCCGTGATCGATGTGGTTGCATTCCACATAATACCTTGCCATGAAGAAGTGATAGACAGTGGACAAAAAGTTATACATTGTGATTTCGACTACAGCCTCAATTTTATTCGGGTCAATGCCGATTTGTGTCCCCAGATTAGTCTAGCTGACGGTTGACTGGTGATGGCACTGTTAGGGTAGAAAATTGGCTAAGAGAAAGACAAAGCAGGGGCCTCGGTTGATGAAATGGATGGAAAGTGAGCTCCCGAAAAGTGTAAATTTTTATTTATTCACTTTTTACTTTACACGACCCTTCCGTACGTCTACTGTGAGGATCCCAGCATTTCTTGCGCTCGATTCGTTTCTTTGCATCCAT